CAAAATAAGGAAGAAAAGAAGGAGAGAGGGAAGGGAAGGAGAAAGAAATAAAAATAAACCTAAATTCTATGTATATTTGACAGCCATCCTAATACTCCAATGAAATAGGTGTTGCAAAGAGGGTATTACTCTTGTTTTTGATAGATTAAAAAAAAAGCTGCCCCAAATTATACTGTGTATAGATGATCAGTAGACGTATTATTAAAAGCTTTCTACTCCTGACCTTTAATTTACTTCTAAATGAACATGTTTTAGGGAAAAGGACATGGAATGCTTTATTGCACTCATCAGTAACTGTCACAGTTCACATTTAAGGAAAAATGTATACATATCAACCATTCTCATATTGATCAGATTTTAATCTAATTCTCTATAACAATTATTATTTAAAGGTAAATTAAATGTGATCTGGACACAGAAAACATGATGTAACTCAGATATATAATACTGTTTTGTGATCCTAAATGTCTCAACATGGAGTCACTTATGACAAGTGACTCAGCCCCCAGCAAGTGAATCTGCTGACCCTCAGAGTGATCAAGCACATATATGGCGGACAGAGGTGATAATATGACACCTGCTGTGGCCAGGCGCCCCTGAGACCTCACAAGAAAATAAAGCCAAAAGGCAGCTAAAGATAATGGCTATGGACACTCCTGGTTACAGAGGGCCATAAAAACTACAAAGAAACTGACCATGGCCAAGACACCTGCAGAAACTCTGTCCCTGAGAACCCTGAGGCCTGTTTTCCATAGGCTGGGGTTTCTGGAAGCTCTCCTGAGAAAAGAGCAGCAACCCCTGTTGGCCAGTGTTCTGAGGGAAACTGGACCCACCACCTATCAGTCAGTGAGCTGGGCTTCCCAGCTACGCACTGTGGCTCCTCCCCCTGCCCCCTTATTACCACCTGTGTATGCTGAATGTATTGGCATGATTGTTGGTGTGTGAAAGCCTCCCAATAAACCGTGAATTCCTAAGCATTTAATTGCCCACTGAGTCATCATGAAACCTCCCAGTCCCCCAGTCTGAGTTAGCACAGTAGGCTGATTCAAACCTGACAGAAGACTCACTCCATGCATGTGGATTCTTATTTTAAACATTAAGAAAAATTGGTCTATTAGGAGACTCAAAACTAAGAGCATCTTTCAATTTTTAAAGTGAGCCAAATAAAGTATGAGAAAAGAAATACTACTTTTTTCTACTTTCCTTTAATACATACATAAATTTTCAAAATTAAATTCAATTTCCACATTTTCAATTCTTACTTGTAACAGAGTACAAAAGCATTAAAAATTGAAACTAAAAGAAATAATCTTTTGCTAAAGTGGCAACCCATGATGGTGGTTATCAAATCAATGTAAGACTTTTGGACTCGAGGTTAAACAACTCTATCTATCTATCAATCTATTTAGAGACAGGGTCTTTGCTCTGTCTCCCAGTCTGGAGTGCAGTGGTGCGATCACAGCTCACTGTAATCTTGAACTCCTGGGCTCAAGAGATCCTCCTGCTTTAACCTCTTAAATACCTGGGACTACAGGAGCATACCACTACAACTGGCTCAACTGGCTTTTTAAACTTTTTTTTTTTTTTTGTAGAGCCAGGGTCTCACTATGTTGCCCAGGCTGGTCTTGAACTCCTGGGCTTAAGCAATTCCCCCACCTCAGCCTTCCAAAGTGCTGGGATTAAAGGCATGAGTCACCACACTCGGCTTCCAATTTCTTTTGACTTTTTTCATGGACATAGATCATTACAAACTTCAATTAAGCTTTGTTCTAAAAGGGTCATTTAAGTCAGTGCTATGAAAAACAACATATTTTCCTGGGACACTATGTTAAGAAAATAATGGTTAGATGATCAGAAGAGCCCACAAAATCCAATTTAATCTATAATGTGGTAAACTGATACTAACAGCAGCTCTGAGCTCCTAAGAGAAAGCAAACGATGGGCATTGTGCTAAAGTGAGGGTGGGAAAAGGCTCCCGAATAAAGCACTTTGGAGATTAAGGTGCCAACAGTCAATGGCATCAGTGCAGATG